CCCCCCCCTTCCCCCCCCCCCCCCCCCCCCGGGAGTTAGAGTGTAATTTGAACCCTGCTCACATGATTGTCTTGAGCAGCAAGACATTGGCTACTTTGGCTTGGATGTTTCCTGGCCACTTCTAAAGGAGCTGTTTTGCTTTTTATATAAAATAGTAATTGGGGCAGAAAGACAGCCTAACACCATAGGCCAGCATTTAGGGTGCTCACATTGGAGACGGTAGAGTGGGGAAGAAGTACTTGATCTGCTGAGGCAGAGCTAGAACTTGAACCTAGATCTTCCACATCCTGGGAGAGTTCCCTAACCAGTGAGCTGCTGCCTAGTCTGTGTGGGTCATGCCTTATTTTTCATGAAAGCTTTGAAACTTCTTGGGTTCATCCATGTATAGAGTTGGACATTTTTGAAATTTTTTGTGGGATGGGAAAATTGTTGCTGCAACAGTTTTGCATGTCCTGCTCTAGTTCCATGTTCTGTGTGCAGCTTAGCAAGTGAATAGGGTGTCTGTGGGCATAGTCTTTTGTTCAGCTCTTCTATTTCTTTTTAATGTAGATATGGCGAAAATAAATGGGTTAAAAAGTCAGAATGCCAGCACATCGATAGAACATGGTGTGATCTCTCCAGTGACACCTATGACCACGAAAAACAGTACTATGCAAGTGTTAAAGCCTTCTTAGAAAGAAACTGTTCCAGCTGGGCAGAGACCGAACGGTTCAATCCTCTCACAGACAGTAAGGAAAGAACATAAAATTAGGTGTCCGTAGCTTTTATTAAATTGTTTATTTATATTGCTTAACTTGGAGTGTTCTCCTACAGGTGCACAGAACAATGCATGCATTTGTCCCCTCTCCACTTTTATTGACAGAACTTGTTGGAGTATATCCTATAACAGTTTGACTTTATATCTCAGTTTCATCTAAAGTACTTTTGGTGATGTGCCTACTGTATACTGAATAAAGTCTGAAGCAATGGTTATATTTTACTGTGGTGAAGGCAGACAACAGTGAATTCAAAATGTGGAAAACACATCTTAAGAAAAAGTAATGCTCTGAAGTACATAGTAAATGTTTTTTTCTGTCTTATAGTCCCTTCTAACCAGGGCAGAGCTATAACAGTAGCATAGTACAGTCTCCTATATTAAAAAGAAATCATTGTCTTTTAGTAAGCTGAAACCTTAGGCACATCAACATAACTCAAGTCATGTAATGTTCAAAATTACAAGCCTGGCAAAACTCCAGGTCAAGTTATATCCACATTGTCACAATTAAGGCTTTACCTGGAAAATAATTTTATTATTTACCTGGAGAATAATTGTCTCCCATTATAAATGGAATTATTCAAGGTTGGGGCCAGCAAAGTATCACTACATTTAATGTAATCCAGTATTTAGGTATTTTAATACCATCTTTATCAGTTTGCTTTGCTTTTTGAAATGGTTTTACATAATATTAAACACATTATTTTCCAGCCCAGATTGATCCACCAGCAGTCACTGTGTCATCTACTGAAAAATCAATTTCAATTGTTCTGACTGCTCCTGAGAAATGGAAAAGAACTCCTGAGGACAAATCTGTATCTTTGTTTTACATTTACTCTGTTTTGCAATATAATGTGTCTGTCCTCAACAAAAAAACAAACAAGAAGGTAAGCTGAAAAAGGTTGTAGCAGCGTATGTATTGAACCTGCACCTAGAGCTTACTAGGGCATGCATTTAACTAGTAACACGGAGGGTATAGTCCAGTATTTTAAACAGAATTCTATAGCACCGTGTATCTGGTGGCAATACTTTTGTAATGTATTGCAAAAAACCAAATCCATTTGACTGCATCTGAACTTTGCTCATTGTTCCAAGTCACCAGGCTTAATGCTAACCTTCTGGATCAAAGAGTAGGTTTACTAAGGTGCATCTGAGGTTGGGTTGTTTGGGGGGG